GTATTCCACCGAAACCTCGTGGCGAACAACAAAAGATCATAACAATCGAACAATGCCGAGGTTTCAAGATGAGAGGAGTTGGAACTTGCCTCCGAAAGGTACTGCACGTCCTTACCAAGTTTTCGTGAGTGCCGTTGAGCGAGGGTATGGGAGGGAGAGGGGGAAGTGGAGCACACGCCTTGCGTTCACTATTAGAAACAGTTTGCAGCGCTTTCCCTTTCGAAATATAACCCATCCTTCGAGATATGATTCCCCGTTGGAATCCCCATATTCTTCAACGTACGAAGTGCCCTGATTCTCATAGAAGCGACATTTCTGATGTGTTATATTGTTGCGTTTTCATTTCTGCATGCGCTCAAGCGCATGCCGGAAAGTGCGTGGCAATTCCCCAATAACAGCTCAGATAGCTTAGGAAGCGTTCAGACCTTCGCGACGGCAGCGCTTCGGTCGCGCATTGGACGCGATCGATGCGCATGCTTTCTACTGCATCGATCGCGTCGAACGCGCGACCGAAGCGCTGCCGTCGCGAAGTCTGAACGCTGCCTTAGCTCGTGCGCCTTCTAACATCTTCTGTAGAAAAAGAGGAGACACTAAGCAACACAACATAATCTTATATTTAATCATACAAGTAAACACATGAACAAATAAATAACAATCACATTTTCTACATGCACACATTGACATCTGATCAACAAAAACAATTGTTTGGAAATAATACAGGTGATGGAGTGCATCGTAAAAAAAATCAGGGCAGGAAGTATAGGCAGCACGCTGCTGTTTGCGAATTGCATTCCACGTTGGTCATATGGGCGGGTCGAACCAATCACTCTGTTCTTCTCACTGGCGCGGGCGTCGCTCTCATTACCGCTTTGGAGAGAAGGGCACTATAACGAAAAAGGGGCGGTGGCAGGCCGAGCTCCGCCCATATGACCAGCGTGAGCTGTACCTTTGTGTAACCGTGGTGTAAGACAGCACCTTGCTACTGTCTGAAAAACAGCCAGCCGATTTTAACGGAATAATGAGATCTGCGAAATATTCTGGAGTAGGCAACCCAAAAAAACGATAGAGGGGCATGTTCCTACACGGTATCCACGTCTGTAGGCTTTCATACGCTTTAATGTTCCGCCACCCAGTTGCTACTTCCTTCCGGACTCATCTGGGAAATTTCGAAATATTCGATGCATAGTGTTTTCCTAACCTTCCAACCAGAAGAAATCTGTATGTTGAGCATTATAGAAGGCAG